TATTTTTTCACATACTGAGCCCCAGCAACTCTGGCCACCCCTGCCCACAAAGGCCTGAGTTTTGCCCTACTGGTTTTCGGGGACATACACTAAGACATAGTCGATCCCTGGAGGCACCACCACACTCACTGCATCCGGGAGGTGTCCACCCAAGGCACACGTGCCATCGTCTCCCGAGGAGCCGCTGCCCACAGGCTGGCCTACCGGGCCCGCACTGGCATCTGCCGGTTGCCCAGGGATGTCTAAGGATGGCTCAGGGGCCACAGACGGCACTGGCACAGAAGCGGGCTTGGCGGGGTGTCTTTCCCGCTGGACAGCACTGGTCTGGGATGTGGGGTGCCTCTCATTGGGGGGTTTCCCCCCCTCTACTGAATGTAGATATGCCTGTCGATGCTTCCGCCTGTGATGTGCCACACAAGGCTTGGAAGGAAAGGCTTTCCCACACTCAAAGCAGACACAGGGAGCCTCTCCTGCGGGGCTCCACTGGTGCAGGCGGAGCCGGTCCCTGCTGTTGAAGGCTTTCCCACAATCGCCACAGGTGTTGGGTCTCCCTGCCCTGTGAATCCTTCGGTGTGAAACGAGACTCGCCTTTGTAGTGAAGGCTTTCACACAGTCTCCGCATTTGTAGGGCTTGTCTTCCGTGTGAATTCGCTCATGGTAAATGAGACTTGTCTTGTGAGAAAAGTACATTCCGCAAACACCACACACAAAAGGAGTCCTTCCAGTGTGATGCCCGTCACGTCCCGAGCAGGAGCCGCTGCTCACAGGCTGGCCCGCCGGGCCCGCACTGGCATCTGCCAGTTGCCCAGCGATGTCTGAGTTTGGCTCAGGGGCCACAGACAGCACCGGCACAGAAGCGGGGTTGGTGGGGTACCTTTCCCGCTGGACAGCACTGGTTTGCGATGTGGGGTGCCTCTCGGTGGGTTTTTTTCCCCCCATCACCAAGTGTACATATGCCTCTCGGTGTATTCGCTTGTGATGCGCCACACAGGACGCGTAGGCAAAGGCTTTGCCACACTCACTGCAGACACAGGGAGTCTCCCCTGCGGGGCTCGACTGGTGCACGATGAGCTGGTATTTGGTAGTGCAGGCTTTCCCACACTCGCTGCAGCTGTAAGGACTCTCTCCCGTATGAGAACTCCGATGGACGTTCAGTGCATACTTTGTAGTGTATGACTTCCCACACTCGCTGCAGGCATAGGGTCTCTCTCCCGTATGAGAACTCCGATGGACGTTCAGTGCATACTTTGTAGTGTATGACTTCCCACACTCGCTGCAGGTATAGGGTCTCTCTCCTGTATGAGAACTCTGATGGACACTGAGGGCACGCTTCGAAGTATAGGACTTGCCACACTTGCTGCAGGTGTAGGGTCTCTCCCCTGTGTGAACCCTTTGATGTGAGATGAGTCTCGCCTTTACATTGAAGGCTTTCCCACACTCTGCACATTCATAGGGCTTCTCTCCTGTGTGAAGTCTTTCATGGATAACAAGACCTCTCTTATTAGAAATATGTTTCCCACAAACACTGCACACAAATGGAGTCCTTCCTGTGTGATTCCTCTCATGGGCTATGAGGCGTGCCTTCTGGCTAAAGCCTTCCCCACATTCACTGCACACATAACGTTTCTCTCCTGTGTGAATCCGCCGATGTAGAAAGAGAGTTCCCTTCTGGGTGAATCTTTTCCCACAGTCACTGCATTCATATGGCTTCTCCCCTCTATGTGTTCTCTGATGGAGAATGAGCTCAGTTGTGTGGAGAAAGATTGTGCCACAGTCAGTACAGTCATAGGTTTTTCCCCCAGTGTTTGTTTTCTGGTGGACTGAGAGCTTGTCCTTACTGCAAACAGCTTTCTCGCACACACCACACTCATGAGGCTTCTCTCCTGTGTGAAGGGTAGTGGGTATTTACTAAGGTGATTGACCAGAGGCTCCCATGACGCCCTCTCAGTTCCAATGGATTTGCAGGCATGGCCTCCAGAACTCAGGAAAGTTCTGGTTCCCAGGCGACAATCTTAACTTGAAGGGACATGCCAGAAACCCCCGAAGGAAGAATAGCGGAAGCTGCAGGACAGGCAGCACACTTGTGCATCATGACACCCCACTCTACCAGCACCTGGCAGCTTCCACAATTCCAGTGCTCCTAAACCCTGTCCTCTGGGTTTCCTAAGGATTCACTAAGCAGCCAAGATGGAGGAGGTCATCCTCTGTAGGTGACCAGGGGGCTGATTCCCCCTCGTCTTCTCCGGCCCAAGAGAGCCCCTCACTCCAAACATGGTGGGTGCCCAGGCAGTAGCCACCAGCCTGAGGCCCCCAAATCCTCCTCATTCACCTCAACCAGAGGTGGCTGAAAGGGGTTTGTGTCTGTGAGGAATGACACCCCTTCCTCTTCCTCCACTTATCACATCAGAACGGGATGCAGGTCCCGTGCCTGAACCGGACATGATGGCTGCATGTGCACAGACGCTTTCTGATGTCAAACACGCACACCCAAGGGTAAAGGCTTTTCTCCCAGGAAGAAGAGAACACCCTTCTCAGGACCCAGGAGATGGAGACCCCCCCCTCACCCCTTGAGCCTTCACAGGCGAGCAGGAACCCGGGCCCGGCCTCACCCAGGGACACCAGGTGGCTGTAGGTCTCCTGCATCACCTCCCGGTACAGGGCCTTCTGGGCGGGGGCCAGGAGCCGCCACTCCTCCCGGGTGAAGCTCACGTCCACGTCGGCGAAGGTCAGCGGGTCCTGTCACAGCACAGGGTCATGTGAGGGGCCTCGCCAGGCCATGGAAGGAACATGACACATTCCCTGCTCTGTTCACTTTATAAGCTGGATCTGTGCCTCGTGGGGCGTGTGCCTTGGAAGGCATCATGACAACGCAAATGCCCACTAACCACTGCGCACTTGGGCCTGTCTTAAGCATCTGCTCGGGTTTTCCAATGCAGGAATTGAGACCAACCTGTTATCCTGCAAAGATGTTCTCAAGAGCAGTTGCTCTTCAAGGTCCCCCGTGCCTGCCTTCCTATCACTTCCAGGAAGGACATAAACAAGTTCCCAAAGCAGAGACAGGACAGGACCTTTTACCCCCAAACCGAAATCCCCCCCCACCTCCCATCACAAAGCTAGGGCGTTAACAACCCGGTGATAACCTCTCAGGCCTGCCGTCAAGGTCTCTCCTTTCCTCAAGCCGTCCTTTTCTATCGCTCTAGAATCATGGCTGCCCTGCAGGGCAGGCTCCCAGTGCAGGGGTGCAGGTGGGCTGTCAGGGGGGGCCTGCTCCTGCGCCTGCTCAGCTCACAGGGGCATGGGAGTCCCCCCGTGTCCCAAGCCTGTGCTGGGAACCTTCGTTTCTCCTCACAGCTCGGCCTTAGTCCCGGCTGCTCAACAAAATAAACTCGGAACAAATAGAACAAAGTCAGGGAACCTCCATCGCTCTCTTGAGAACTCGCCGAGCGAGCTGCTCCCGGCGCGTCCTCTGGGTCCGTTCCACCTGCGCCCCAGCTCTCAGGCTTCGCTCAGAGGCTGACCCCCAGGCCCGGGGTTCTTCCTCCTTCCCTGGATGCTCTTGCTCCCAGGAGCCAGGACCTGTGGGTGCAGAGAACCCCATGAGCGGCCCAGTCCCTGCAGCCCGGCCGCCTGCTTCCCAGCTCCGCCGTCAGGGCCCCTGACCCCGCCTGGGCCGTGACCCGCTTCCCCGAGGACGGGGTTCTCCGGCCTCAGAGCTGAGCTTCCGGGTGGGGTGCAGGCTGCCTTCAGTGTGTGAGGGGAAGTGGGCGTCTGAGACAGGGCACGAGGGCAAGAGGCAGCCCCGCCCAGGCCTCAGGAGCAGGCCAACATCAGGCAGCTCGGTACAAGAGGGACAAGTGAGGAAACAGGAATCTGGGCGCTGCCCCTAGTGCTGGGAGTGGTTCCCCGCTTCAAACGACCTGCTCTGTGGGCTCAGGCCCAGCAGCTGGAGAACCAGGGAACTGAGAAATAGCAAAAGTATGGCCATAAGGCAACGTGACAGACACTGTTGCAGGAGGTCTTGCTGCACAAAGAACCTACATGCTGGTCTCTAAGCCAGGAGTTGGTATATGAAGCGCAAGTGCTCAGGGCCCTGGACTGAGAAGTGTATAAAGTGCTAGAAACATGAACACTGGCAAGGAAGGGCACATTCTCAGTGCCGCCCCCGGGTCCTGCAGAGAATGAAAAAAGGTCTTCAGTGCACATGTCCTGCCTCAGGAAGGAAGCGTGAGCGGTGGCGAACAGGCCCCTGGGCCTCAGCCCCCCGGAGCTAGGGGGGGTCTCCTCAGAAGTGGTGCTGGGCTGATCAGATGATGGGGCCAGTGGGAGGCTGTGCCTCCCCTCACGACATCCTCAAATATCATTTGGGGGCACACCTGTCAATCCCCAAAGCCTTGAAGACACAGGCAGAACATGGCTGGCACAAAGCGACTTTCTGTTGGAGGAACCAGAACAGAACGCTGGAACAGCTTGGTGGCTGGTCGATGGCAGTGACTGCACCCTGAGATGTGGCAGTTTCGCTCAGGCACGCCGAGGCTGATGACCGCGGTAAGCAGCGGGGTCTTCACATAGGCCTTCTGCTCTGGTCCTGGTAGGAACCTTGTCCCATGGTAACCAGGAGGTAGAACGGGACAGGGGCCAAGGCCATCAGCCCTGACTCCCTCCGTGGTGCACAGCCACGACTCCCCTCTCGCTGTGTGGCCATGGCTCTCTGGCCAAGTCCCGCAGCCCACGCACACCTCCCCGAAGCCTGAGGAAGCTCACCATGCCTGAGACAGATGAGCTAAGCCCTGGGCTACGAGTTCACCAAGCCAGCCCCGGCTCACTGCATCGGCTTCCTGTCGGCCCTGGTGTCCACCTTCCGTCCTGCCACGTAGCAGTACCTCTGGGCTGCCTGTACCTCCCCAACCCACAGAGGCACATCTGAAGCAGAAGCCAGGGAGAGAGCTCACAGCCGCATCATGCTAACTGTCCGACTGCAAACACAGTTCGTTTAAGAGTTGGGAAAGCTGCCATCTGCTCAGATGAGGAAGCCATGCCTGTTCAGCTCTGCAGCTAAAAGCACTTTCTGTACTGGAAGGCTGGTGAGACAGAAAGCCCAGAGAGAAACGGCTGAGCCCTGCAAACCCAGCACATTTACAGCAGACACATGCAGAGAACACACTTGTCCAGCCCTGGGGCAGAGGAACACTGTGCAAAGATGTGAGCCTTACAAACATGGGACAAAAGAGAAGTCTATCTTAAAAACGCAGTAAAATGCACTATGTTAAATGATGCTGCTGGCCAAGAGCTTGCTAAGCCCGCCTTCGGATGCTGGTCCCGATGGAGTAGCTGGGAAGGGATGTACCCAGCACCAGGGGAAGCTGACAGTGAGCTACTCCTGCAGATTACCCTGTAGATCTTTTAAATTAGCAAATGAATGGAATAGCTCAACCAGACCAGGAGGCCAATAAATATACACACTTGGAGTGGGCTGGAGCAAAAGAAAAAGAATTCGGGTCAACAGAGAAACCAATCAAATAGACAATTTTGGGTTTTTTGGTCATGAAAGAATATTCGGAACTTTATGTCATGAACTTGAAATGCTGGTTAAATTCCAAAGCCGGCTTCCTACCTCCTTCCAGAACATCAGGCAACACAGTAGGTGAATTTTATGTGCCCAGTATTACATACCTACTGTCTACTGAGTATAGAGAGTAGAGCCGACACCCTGAGCTCAGAATAAACTGTGAACAGTAGGATGTGATCAGAAAGTAACAACATTGAGGCAATATCACTGTCAACATGTGAGAAAGAGCCCAATCGTTCCTTATTGAAGAAGCTACGCTCCCCCAGAAGTCACCAAGCAAATGTGGCAATGTGTACCTCTGGCTACAGCTGCACCACGTGGCCCTCCCTCATGGCGCAACAGGTTAGGGCGCAGCAATGCATAGGAGCCGCAGCCTCAACTGCGGCCTGTACCCCAGTTCTGTGCGCATACATCAGTAAATCTTTTTTTAAAGAGGTGCAAGGAGAGTCCTCACCAGAGACAGAGTGGGGAGCAGAACAGGCAGATGGAGGAAGTACACTGCTGAGGGGAGCAGCGGGCGGGTCAGGAGGGGTCTGCCACACATTGTGGCTCACCTCCCGGGCTGGGTTCGAACTCGCACTGAGGCGGCTGTGGCTGGCTTGCAGTGCTGCATCCTAACTCTTTGTGCCACCAGGGAGGGTCCATTAAGTAAATCTTTAAAGAAAAAAAAACAAACTGCACCATGTCCTCAAGTCAAACACAAGCCAACAGGCGCTGCAGGGTGAAATGGGGGCCTGACAGGGGGCCACACCCCGCACTTAAAAGGAACTTAAAAAGAGACTCCACGGCAGGCCCACGCAAGAAGCGCCATAAAGGGTTTATTTACAAGAAAAGGAAATGAAAAAATGAGCACTCGGGGAAGACATGGACAGGGATAGATTGGGGAATGTGTCCACTGTGTCCCACTGTTAGCGGGCACCCCAAAGTAAACTGGGTGCCCGTCTGTGGGTCCTCACCAGCGAGCTTAAGATTCAACTGCACTGCAGACGCACAAAGGTCAATAGTGGGTTTATTTACACCGGGACAAGAAAAGGAGCCCAGGGAAAGGAGAGATACATGGTAGCTATGCGGCCTACCAGCTCCACTACCTTGGAACCCCAACAGCACACTGACAGCGGGTCAAGCGCCAGCCAGCAGCCAGCAGCCGCGAGACCGATGGCGAGCGTCTGCGCCCAACCTCCTGGGCCCAACATGTCTGCCTTTATGGCCCAAATCCCAAAATGGCGGCCGAGCCCCACCCGAGCGCTGCAGTCCTCCCTTCGGTCTTGCTGGGAGCTGGAGTCTCAGGGTCGGGAGGGAGTGAAGGCCGCAATCTGCAGTTGTTCAGGACATCCTTTCCCCCAACACTACCACTTCCACTGAGCTGAACCCCAATAGCATGGTGAGGGCCAGCTGGGCAGGTAATAGCCAAGCCCGCGGCTCAAGGCCACCCTGGGCGCGTTTGCCGCCACTCGCCACTCGCTGGTGAGGGATTATGGGACCTGTAGTCCTTGGGGGCTTGGCGTGCTTTGGCCTCCCACAAAACCTACTTGTGGGGCGTTTGGGCCATCCTTTACCACACCTGCCAGAACCACCAGGGCTTGCTGGGACTCTGGAATTGGGTTACTTCACCGGAGGGAGAAACAGGAAACAGCAGGGAGGTTCTGTCAGCAAAGCCCAGCGAATGTTGGTCCGGTAGGAAAGAGACTGTTCCTCGCTGAATGGTAAGGGGGCGCACAGGGGCTGCAAACATTTCCTGCAAAGGAATAGATATGGCACAAGTTCTGCCTGGAGGCTCAAGGAATTCTGTCAAAGATTCTGTCTTTGCCTAAACTTTGCCTAGCAGATGGCGTGGCTGCCTGAGTCGCTCGGCCCTCGGACACAACCCAGACGCAGCAAACCACGGAACGCGCCCACCGCCTCAAGCCACACACCAGCCGGGGTCGGGGCGTCCGCACGAGCCTCTGTGCACCAGCATCGGGCTATGCACCTGCTCATCAACCCGAACCCCGGGGCGGAACCCCATTCGACGGTCCACCCCGACCCCAACTTCACTAGCCCCACGTGGAGCCCGAGCCCGACCCAGGCACGCGGTGGCCGTCAGGTCCGCCCGGGCACGCGGTGGCCGTCAGACCCTCACAGGGCGATCCGCGGACACCCCGCCACCAGACGTGGGGGCCGGGCCGCCGGGGTCTTCTGACCCTTAGTCGTTTTCACCGACCCCCCTCCCAGGCTTTCCCAACCCCGCCAGTCATTGAAACCTACGGACGACAGGCGCCCAGTGACAAACCTGCAGGGGAAACAGAACAAAACAAAGCCACAGAAAACTGCCCGGGCCAAGAGCAGACGCCGACCTGATCGTCTGCAGCCCCAGGAGCGACGCAGCAGAACCCTTCCGCGACACGCTGCCGCCTGCGAGCGTCGCTCGCGTGTCGTCAGCCGACGGTGGCCGGAGAGGCTCAAGGCAACTGAGAAACGCGCAAACCTGTTCCCGCCGGGCGTCGGGAGGCCCCGCGCATGCGCCCGCCCGCGAGTCTGCGCCGTGCGTCGTGGGCCGTGGAGGCGGCCATGTTGGCACGGGCGCGCCGCGCGCCAGCGGCTGGGCTGGGGGCCCGGAGCCCGGGGTGGCGGGAAGGACGAGACGCCAGTGGATTCCTCTGATGTCCTAGAACTTCCCTCTGGCGGAAAATAAGCAGCGTCTCACAGACTCGAGCTTCACGAGGTAAATACGGGAGGCTGGGCAGGCCGGCGACTGCGGCGCTGGTAATCCGCTTCGTATTGGTGTGCGGAGGCCGAGGGAACGGGAGCGAGCAGCTGTATGTGCCCGCAGCGCTGCAGTAGCCGACAGACCACTGGACCCCAAGGGGGCAAGAAAAAGAAAAGCCCCGGCCCGGCCCGGCGGGGCCCTGCGTCCCACCAGCAGGGGGCGTCCCGGAGACGGTGCGAGCGCCGCAAAGTGCCCTGTGCCTTCAGTTCGTGGACGCTGGAGCTCTTGACCGTCAGTTTGGGGGTGACGCCACCCGCTGGCAGGGAATTGCCCCTTCCCCTTAGGATTGGAGAGCGGGTCTTAGGCTGTCCGAGCGACCCTGAAGCCGGGCCCAGCGCCGGCCTCAGACACCGGCTGGAGGTTTTGTGCACTTGCTGTGGACGTGGGATGACGTAATGTTCGCAGGTTCGGGGAGGGGTCGACTCTGGTTTCTGTGTGACGTTCGCCAGGCATGGAGGAGGCCCAGCCGGGCAGGTCTGCCTTCCCTACTTCTTTGGAAAGTCCTTCTGGAGACCTGGGGCGTTGCAGAGCGCCTCAGTCCAGGGGCACACAGTCCTCGGAAGGAACTCGGGTGCGGGGGAGACCCTTGCCTTGCCTGTGGCCGCTTCTCCATGCACACCAGCGGTGCCTGTGTTGTTTAAGGTTTGAAGCTGCCGATGGGGCCTTGTGGCCACTGTACAGCAACAGAGCACGAGCTCTTGGTTAGAGAGAAGGCGAACGCGTGCGCACGGAAACACTCCGGAGAAACGGCTTGCAGGAAGTGTTTTGGGTTTGTTTTGTTTTAAGATTTGTTTATTTATGCACACAGAACTGGGGTGCAGGTCAGAGGTGCAGGGGACGTGAGAGGATCCACCTGAGACAGCGGGGAGCAGAACAGGCCGCCTGATGACTACACTGCCAGGGGAAGCAGCAGGAGACAGGAGCGGTGTGCTGCCCATGTGGGTCAGCTCTGGGGCAGGAGATTGAACTCGTGCTGAAGAGGCTACAGCTAGCCTCCTAGTGCTGGGCTTTAACCTGTTGTGCCACCAGAGAGGGCCCAGAAGTGGTTATTAAGGACAGAAAAATTTGGGAGAAACTGGATACACTAGGAAGCTGGCTGTCATTTTGATGGAAACCGAGGCTGGGAGTTTCCCCTGGGCTTCAGGGTTAGGGGAGCATCTAAAAGACCAGTAAAAGTCTGGAGTCAAAGGCACAACCAGATCAAGAAACCCATATGAAAGTAGTTCTTCCGTAACATCCGATTAACTTTCCTCCCTTACAATCTGATGTTTCTTCACAGAACTTACCAGGCAGATATTCTATTATGTGATTACCTCAGTCTCCTTCACCTCCCTGTGGAGCCCCTCTAAGGAGACACTCAGGGACTGAGTCACTCAGCATGGACCTGGGAGTTGAGTTCTGCCCGAGGCTACACAGCCGTGTCTGTGTCTTTTGCTGTGAAGCAGGAATCACCATCTTTATTATTATTTCAAGGGAAAAACTCTGGGGAGAGGAGTTTGTTGCCAGGTGGCCTACCAAAAAGGATTGGTAGAGGAAGTGAGGGCCAAAAGGAAGTAGCAGAAGGAAATGTGCCATCAGGGATGAAGCAAAGGAACACAGTGGGCTGTTGTCCATTTGAGTCATTAAAGTATGTTTTCATTTTTGCATAGAACTGGGGTCGAGGCCAGAGGTTCAGGGGCTGAGAGGATGCACCAGAGAGAATGGGGAGAACAGCAGGATGTACTGAAATCCACTGCTGAGGGGAGCAGGAGACAGGAGAGGTCTGCTGCACCCTGTGGTCACTCCCTGGCTGGGAACTGAACGTAGGTCATGGAGGCAATAGCACTGAAACTCAACCCTTAGGCCGCCAGAGAGGCCCAAAAGTATGTTTGAGGGTTGAAAGCAAAAATAACCATTTACCCGATAGGGTTCTCAGTGTTGAACGGCGCTTGCAGTTGTGAAATCAAGCCCATCTGTGACAGGAGGACTAAAACCAAATTGGACAATTCCAAAAGCTGGAAGGACTGGAGAAGACGGGGTGACCCACTGCTGATGGGAATGTCAGTGTTTCCAGGCTTCTTGGCAAGGTTGGTGCGATTTGATCAAGTTAAACCCCCAACCTAACATACAACACCCGGGTATTCCCAAGAAACCAACTGTTCCCACACAACTGGGTCCACATGTTTCCCAGCATTTTTATTCATAATGGTGAAACACTGACAATAACTCAGATGCCCCTGAAGAGTGAAGGAAAAGAGAATATTATGTAGTAACGAAGGGGAGCTACTTACATATCCAAGAGACTAGATAGATCTTTTTTATTTTTTAAAAGATTCAATATGTATACAAGAACTGCATTACAGGCCAGAAGTGCAGGAGTCGAGGGGCAGTGAGAGAATTTACCAGACAAAGTGGGGAACAGAACAGGCCGATCTACCGAAATAACATTGCTGAGGGGAGCAGCAGGCAGGTCAGGAGAGGTTTGCCTCACCACATGGCTCCCTGGCTGGGAATCGAACTGGTGCTGCAATGGCTGCAGATAGTTGCACAGTACTGTGCTTCAACCCATTGCACCACTAGGGAGGGCCCGAGACTGGACTGATCTTGAGGACAATTGGCTGCATGGGATAAAAGCCTAGGGCCAAGATTACAGATGTGATTTTACCTCAGTGACATTTTTTTAAAGATTTATTTTTGCATACAGAACTGAGGTACAAGCCAGAGGTGCAGGAGTGGTGAGAGGATTCACCAGACAGAGCGGGGAGCAAAACAGGCAGATGGGTGAAGTACACTGCTGAGGGGAGCAGCAGGCAAGACAGGAGAGGTCTGCTGCACCCTGTGGTCACCTCCCTGGCTGGGGATCAAACGTGCGGAACAGCTGCAGCGAGCTTCGTAATGCTGCGCTTTAACCCACTGTGCCACCAGGGAGGGCCCCTCAGTGACAATCTTCAGATGACAAGTCAGAGTGAAAGTGGAGTGACAGTGGTTGCCAGGGTGAGGGGTGCTAGAAGGGGGTAAACAGGCTATTGCTCTATGTTAGTGCAATGATTCCGCATCCTAGTTGGGGTGAGCCTGACAGAAACCATCTGTGATAAAATCTCTCAGAACTCTACCAACAAAACACAAATTAACACAAACAGAAACAAGTAAGATGCAAAAAGGTCTGTAGTTTAATAGTGCCAAGGCCATTTTATTGGTTTTGATGGTACATTCTAGTTATGTAAGACATTACCACTGAAGCCGAGAAATGGTACTCAGGTACTCTGTATATTTTATAATTTGAGCCAAAGATTATTTTTAAAAAATTGGTAGACCAAAAACACTGATTCAAAAAAACACCTGCACCCCCATGTTTATTGCTGCTTTATTTACAATTGGAAAGACATGGAAACAGCCCAAATGCCCACAAGTAGATGACTGGATTAAAAAGATGTGGTACATTTACACAATGGAATATTACTCAACAATCAAAAAGACAAACACGCCTTTTGCAGCGACATGGATGGAGCTGGAAGGGATCATGCTTAGAGAAATAGCCAGAAAGAAAAGGAAAAATACCATATGGTTTCACCCATGTAGCAGGAGTATAAAGGACCAACCGGGGAGAAAATAGTAATAATAATATACAGAGAAATGTTACAGAGGTGGAATTGGGAGTGGGATCAAAAATGGGGACTGCACTGGACTGTAGTGACGGCACACGGGTGATTTGGTGATGGGAAGCCCACGGGGTTTACAATTGAGGTGGGAAAAGGCACAACATGATGTAAAAATAAGCTATTATAGGCCCTCCCTGGTGGCGCAGTGGGTTAAAGCACAGCACTAAGAAGCTAAAGCCACTTCCGCATGAGTTCGATTCCCGCCTGCCCCGGAGGTGACCACATGGCGTGGCAGACCTCTCCTGACCCGCCCGCTGCTCCCCTCAGCAGTGTACTTCGTCGATCTGCCTGTTCTGCTCCCCACTCTGTCTCTAGTGAAGCCTCTCGCCACCCCTGAGCCTCTGGCCTGTACCCCAGTTCTGTATGTACAAATAAATAAATCTTAAAAAAAAAATAAGCTATTATATTATTAAGAAGTAATAATAATAAAATCACCGAATAGAAAAAATCATATTTAAGGTGTTTTTGGGAATTACTTAATGCTTCTTATAAACCCCCCATGTGTTGGGTTGTTGATGCATATACTCCCGTTTCTGTGAAGAGAATAACCCCCATTTAGCAGCTCCCTGCCCACCTGACGTGCAGGTGCCTCTTTTCCTTTCTCCTTTCCCTAATAAAGCTGTCCTTTCGAAATGTGGAAAAAGAGAGAGGTAATAGCCCATTTTTAAATGACCAAATCAACGAGCATGTTTCAAAGTATCCTGTTCCAGAATAGCTCTCAGGTACAGTTTAGATTTGTGATGGAAAACTCAAGTGTACGACATTTCCATGACAACCTGGCATAAATTTGGATATTTTGCTGGTTACCCGATTCACGGTGCTCTTAAGTTTTGTTTCAGTGTGGGTTTATGACAAATGATGAAGCAGAATTATGCAGTCCTGCTATTCTCCTGAAAATAGAGAACTGTGGAAGAAGTTTCATTTCTAAGCAAGGTTTTCCCACAGCCATTCTATTGCTAGTGTGTCTGAGCTCACTGTTTGTATAATTACTGGGATCCCCAGGAGAGGGGTTCTCAACTCAGCCATTCTAGTCTTTCACTTCTAAGATTTATCTCAGTAGGTGCTTTTCAGACATAACGAGAAATGTTTCATTGAGACTTTCTATATTGAATGTGTCAAACTTTCTCCTGTTCATTTTGGTGTAGGATGTGAGGGCAACCCATTGATTACCCAAGGCATTCCCAGATCCTCTGCACTGTTTAAATTATTAAAACCCAGTTGCAGACTCATCTACATGGACTCTGTTCAAGTGTGCTAAAAGCACACAGATGTTCAATGAGTTCTCTAGCCATCAATATGTGTCCCCTGCATGAGTTCACTTGTATGTAATGAGTTCCCTGCCAAGAATTATGTACCTTGATTTCCACATTTTTCTTCTGGTCATTTATAATAAGGATAGACAGATGAAAGGCTACCCTCAATCACTGAATCCACGGGTGTCTCTCTTTTATAAGTTCTGTGATGTATAGTTAGTGCTGATTTCATGTTGAGCAGTATTCTCACACTGACTGCATATGTAGTTTGTCCGCTGGACAAATCCCCCGGTGGGTAATGAGACTGATAATACAGATGTATGATTTTCATCCTTAGGACATATAAAGAAGTCTATCCCACATGAAATCTCTGTCATTATACGAGACATATTTTCTTCCTGAAGGTATGATTTTGTTCATTGCATGATTAGGGTTTGTTTCATTATGAGTTCTCTGATGTGCAATGAGATTTCTCTTAGAGGAGAAGCCCTTTCCACACTCACTGCATACAATAGGTTTCTCTCCTGTATGAGTTCACTGATGAACAGTTAGATGGCTTTTCACAGAGAAGCCTTTTACTGCATTCATCACATGTATGTGGTTTTTCTCCAGTGTGAATTTGCTGATGTAAAACAAGGTCGGTTTCCATGGCAAAGGCTTTTCCACATTCACTGCATAGATAGGATTTTTCTCCTACATGAATCTGCTGATGTATGACAAGATAGCATTTCATGGTGAAGCCTTTCCCACATTCACTGCACAGAAAGGGTTTCTCTCTAGTATGAGTTTGCTGATGTACACAAGATTGCTCTTAAAGGTAAAACCTTTGCTACATTTATTGCACATATAGGGTTTTTCTCCAGTATGAGTTTGCTGATGTAACATCAGTGCACTATTCACAATGAAACCTTTCCCACATACACTGCATCTGTATGGCTTCTCTCCAGTATGTGTTCACTGATGTACAACTAGCTGACTCTTCAAGGGGAAGCCTTTCCCACATTCACTGCAGTTGTAGGGTTTCTCTCCAGTATGAGTTCGCTGGTGTACGATAAGCATACTCTTTCCAGTGAAGCATTTTCCACATTTACCACATATGTGGGATTTCTCTGATGTACAATGAGATTACTTTTTCTGGGGAAACCTTTTCCACACTTACTGCATACATAGGGTCTCTTTCCAGTATGCATTCGCTGGTGTTCAATCAGATGAATCTTCATATTGAAACCTTTTCCACATTCGTTGCATATATATGGTTTCTCTCCTGTATGAATTCTTCGATGTATGATGACATATTGCTTTGTGGTGAAGCCTTTTCCACATTTGCTGCAGGTGTAGGATTTCTCTCCTGTATGAGTTTGCTGATGTATGATGAGCATGTTCTTTCCAGTGAAGCCTTTCCCACATGCACTGCATACAAAGTGCTTCTCTTCGGTGTGATTTCGCTGATGTACAATGAGATTACTTTTCCTGGGGAAACCTTTCTCACATTCCCTGCATACATAGGGTTTCTCTCCAGTATGAATATGCTGTTGTTTAATCAGATGACACTTCACAGTGAAGACTTTTCCACAACCAGGAAATATAAGGGCCTTCTCTCTTGTATGAATTCTCTGATGTTCATTGAGCCTGGCCTTTCTGGAAAACACAAAAGCTGCATCCATAAAGTTTCTCTGCCTTATGAACTCTGATGATTAGTGAGCTGCGACATCTTACCAAAGCCTTTTCCACATTCACTGCATACATGGGTTTTCTTTATTTCATGTGCTTTCTAATGCTTAATGACTTGGAACTGATTGCTAATGAGTTTTACACTCACAGAGAATTCAACTGTAGGATGAAATCCTTCATGCTGACCATATGGAAATAATTTCCTATCTCCATTAAATTTACTAAGAGTTTTTACTTTCACAGCTTTTGCTCTGGTTGACTAAATTTGAGTTAGATTTCAAAGTTTTTATATATAACTCAAACATACCATTTTTCCTGACAGGAAAATGACTTTTACTTCGAAGACTAGTATTTCTAAATGCACTATGTCCATGGTATTGTTTCGTATCTCTTAGCATTCTCTGATTTTCCAAGTGACCCTTCAGGTGATGATCAGTGTTGCCAGTTTCTAGGAAAGGAGAGCATAATGAATTCACAAACTTTTTTTGGATTTAAGCTGTTCAAAATATTTCTTGATATTTTAAAAATATGGAATTATTTTCAGTGTTTAGTAATAACCCTATGTATAACAGTACAAAAGAAATGCCAGGTATAAACATTTCTGATTTCTTACACATTGATAGAAGCACAGTAACATCACCAAAGAAAAAAGAGGAAGAAGGTATTGTATTCATATGTTTAGGCAGTTGACGATCTGTGTAACATGACTACTTTCTAAATAGGAGCTCGCAAAACATGCAGAGAGTAAAATAGAAGTCATTGTTAGCAGTAAATGGAGGGGTTTAGTGGACTGCTATTCCACAGCATGTAGAAAGATACCAGACCAAAAGTAGAAACAGATCCAAACTGATGAGGATTTAATTTGCTCTCCAAAACTGCTGAATGGCTCCCATGTATGAGGCCCTATGCTAATGTTTAGAATATATAAAACAAACCTTATTTTCACTGAGTTTTTAATCATGTTAGGATAAACTGGATAAAAAGGCAAATATTAAGGTAGCTGGAGTGTGTTCAGTGCGGCCTGAAGGAACAGAGGAGAATGCTGGACAGCAGAGGGAACCAGGATATGTTTGTATAAAGAAATCACAAAGTCAAACGGTGGATTCACTGAGAAGATTGGTTAATAAAAAATGGTTAATAAAAAAGTTAAGAATTACTTAACAGGCCCTCCCTGGTGGCACAGTGGGTTTAAAGCACAGCACTGAGAATCTAAAGCCGCATGAGTTTGATTCCCGCCTGCCCTGGAGGTGACCACATGGCGTGGCAGACCTCTCCTGACCCGCCCGCTGCTCCCCTTAGCAGTGGACTTCATCCATCTGCCTGTTCTGTCCCCCACTCTGTCTCTGATGAAGCCTCTCACCGCCCCTGAGCCTCTGGCCTGTACCCCAGTATGCACAAATAAATAAAACTTTTTAAAAAAAAAAAAAAGAATTACTTAACAATATGACCCAAGCCATTGGGTGGGTACTAAAGCTAGGACTATAGAAATTAGCCAAAATTCTGGAGAGAGTAGAGATTAAAGACTAAAGATAAGCCATTGGTCAACATGTGATTGAACTCTAGTAAAAACTCTGCCGCCCATTATTACACCGACCCTGCCCGCTCACCTCCAAAATGAAAAAACAACGCAACAACGCCCACCTCGCCCTGCCTTGGCGACCCGCAGGACCACTGAGCGGAACTCCTTGCATCATTTCCCTACCCACGACTACACCCCACCAGACTTTCCCCCTGAAGACGCAGCGATCTTTTCAGGGCCTTTCTCCCTGAAAGTCTGTCTCCCGGGATGCTCACCTTGCTGCAAATCCGACGAAGGTCAGCGGTGTTTCGGCCGCCGTTTCTATGGACACCGAGGACTTCCGGCTCTTCCTTATGGCGTTATAGTCTGCGCCTCTGCCGCTTCCGTCGCCCAGGGGGCCGCCATCTTGGGGCGTCGTGATGTCTGAAAGGCCAGAGGGCCATTCTAGGAGCCGCTAACCCTGAGAGCCGCTGAAACGGCCTAGCTGGAAGGGTAATTAAAGCGCACCACGATCATCATGCCTCGCTGTCCATCCGAGGCTGTGTAAACTCAGGCCATCCTGTTCATAAAGTGAGCGGGACAGGCACTGCCATCTTGGAGGAGGTTTGACCTCCGTACGGCGGTGGCACCAACAGCCTGGGGCGCTCGGCTGAGGACTGCCAGGTTGAAGCGCGTTTGGAGAAACCAAGATTTGGAAAAGTGGAATGGTGTGGGGGACAGCGGGGGACAGCGATCCCCCAAACATGTGGGTCCTGTTACCATGGGTGTGTGACAGGGTGGTCCCTAGGAAAAGGGGAAGTTCAGGTGTCCTCCCCCCCAGGAGGGTGGAGCTGAGCAGAGAAAAGTAGGGAAGCTGGATGGGGAATAAGGAGACCTGAGGAAGCCACATGGAGCGGCAAGCATGTGATGAAGAAACCGGGCTTGTCCCTGCCCCTGGACTGGTTAAGGCAGATGTGGGTGAGATACCGTAGAGCAGGCGGGTTTGGGGCTTCAGGAGTGCCCCTCTCTCCCTGACCTATAACAGATTTGGTGTCCTGTAACAGGTGCTCATCTGATGGCTGTCACGAAGCATGCTTGTTTTGAAAGGCACCCCGGCTTTTAAGTATCAGCAGCTGATTCCTCCCTTCATTTGCATCGTCTGGTATTCCAAAACGCGTCATCGATGCCCGGCTGGTGGGCCTCTGCAGGGTTTCGGAATTTGTGAATAGAACTTCTGTGAAAATATACGTGCAAAAAACTAGATGGCATTAAAGAAGTGGGTTTCCCATTACCCTGTGCTTCCTCATTACCTCGCTGCCAGTGTCCACTTCTAGCCCCGATTTTATTAAAGTTCCTTTCCATTAAATGTCTTATACGTTTTGTCTTAATACGGTAGATGACAGGACTTAATTAGAGCAGGCAGGTTTGGGGCTTGTGGGGTGTCCTTCTCCTTGTCCTGTAACAATACCATAAATATATTTTGTTCTTCATCTGGGTTCCAGACCAGAGCTTTAAAACCCTTATCATTTCTTAGGGATCTGTCTTCCCAACTTCTAAAATAACTGGGTTGATAGAGATCAGAGGAATATAGTTTATTAGTCATAGCCAGTCCCTTTCTACCATGAGGTATCTGGATTATAGTAGCACAGGGGTTCAGAGATCTACCTGAGGTGAGGAGAGGCCAGTGAGAGAGGACCTGAAGTTCCAGACCGCATCGCCCATCCTTAATCCTGCCCTGGCCCCATGCCCACTGGTCCGTGTCCTGTCTGGTCCCAATGCATGTGTTTCTGAATGGTGACTGTTATAACAAGGCTGGTAATGTAGTGAGTAAGCTGTTTCTCCAAGTTCTAGGAGCTAATCGAGCAAGGTAGGCCGGGGGAGCCCAGATATCGTGGTGGGTGGGCTCACACCACTTGCCTAGCTCGGCAGTTGCAGGAAGGAAGCTCAGGCTGGGGCTCGAACACGTGAGCTTATTTATAATGGAGAGTGCAGTTGGGGGAGAGGCAGGAGTTAGAAGCAGGACCGGGGCTGTAGCAGTGGTTCCAAGGTCTCAGCAAAGTGGCACCACAGCAGACAGCAGGGGCAATATGAAGGCAAGATGGCCAGGGATGGCCAGATGAAGTGGCATAGGGCCAGTCGGAGGGGCCAGAGTTACAGCGAGGCTGGCGTAGGCCAGCCAGTCTTCTAGGGACACCTCGCGCAGGCCAGAGTGCGTCTCAGCAACGGCGGGTGTCCGAGGCAGGCCTCAGTGCCACAGCCCTCGCCTACAAACTGGGTAGGGTCTGGCTAAAGTATGCACGAGGGTCCCCGCCTTTTGAACCTGATTGGGTCTTTTCGTTGATTGGCACCTTGGAGCGCGAATCATCTTGGGACGCTTATGAGCCTTCATTTGTGCAACTGGGAAACCTACCAGGTTTGGGGCGGCTGGGGAGCTGGAGGAGAGAACTGGTGGTCCCCATCCTGAAGGAGCTCGGTGACCCTGTGAGCCGGCCCCCTGCTCCCTGTGTCCAGGTCGGAGCTGGGGCAGCCCGCAGGCTTCGCAGTCTCGTTTTTCTTTTTCCCTCCTCCCGAGTCTCTCCGTGTCTGCCTTGCTTCCTTGTCTCGGCTTTCCCTGTCGCCCTTCCTGTTATCCATGTGGCGGCCTAATATCGGGGTGAGGCTGGAGGTGCAGGGGTGAAGGAATTCACTGAAGACAGCGGGGAACAGAATAGGCAGCTTTACTGAGACAGACTGCAGGGGAGCAGGGGGGGAGGACCCCCTCGGCAGGACTTGGGAGCTGGCCTGCAACTGAGTGTGCACCCGCAGCACCCCAGGAGCTGCGTGGGCAGGGCCAGCAGGGCAGGTGCTGGGCACTTCACGCCCCTCGCCAGTGCCCGCTCGGGCGCAGGCTGCTGGCAGGGCCGGGCAGCGCGGGGCGCCGTGGTTACTCTCCATGCAGCCCTGTGCGGCGGCCTCTGCGTCGGGCGGGGAGGAGCGCGGGCCCGGGGCCACGCGTGGAGGGCCCCCAGCTGCAGGCAGTAGAGCAGCCGGGGATGGCCGGCACCTGAGCTGGGTGGGCAATGGCCCAGTCAGACTTGGAGGCGGGGGACCCTGAAAGAGGAGCTCAGGCAGGGCAGGAGCCAGGTTGGGGCTCGCCCTCACTCTGCCTGACCTGGAAGAAAGCAGCAGGGCCCAGCCGAGCCCCGGAGAAGCGAGCCCGGGCGGCGCCAGAGTCTGCAGGTGTGTCGGCGGCCTGAAGAGCTGCTCACCGCCGCCTGCGCTGCTGCCTCCAGCGTCCGCGCTGACCTTCCGGCCTCCAGGCAGCCTGCTGCAGGCCAGCGGCCTGACTGGTGAGCACCTCCGGCCACCTCCGGGGTTGGATCCTGGCCGCTGTCTGCCCAGGCCTCGGCGGGTGGCTCCAGCTTGGCCGAGTGGCCATTTCTGGGGCTCCCGGACCAGGCACTGGGTGGGCAGAGCTGGCCACCGCCGGTGGCCTCAGTAACTGCTCCCCTGCTTGTCAGTGAACCCCGTTGTTGCACCCTGAGCCCCAGTGGCCTTGCGTTTGTGGCGGGCTGGCCTCAGTGACCGGCCCCCACTGGGCACTGTCCTTTGACCCGCTACAGCCCCTCCCCATAGCCCTGTGTCCGTAACGCGGAGCGGAACGGCCCATCTCAGCGCAATAAGCTATTTCGGGGAGAACCTGGGCCAACGTCCGGGTGCCACCTGCAGGGAGACCGGCATAGCCCTGTGTGCCCCCAATGCAGAGGGCACCCAGGGAGAGTGAAATCTGGGGAGCTGGGTGAGGTGCCCAATTGTGATGGCTTGTGAAGCTGGGTGGGACGGGGGAGGGGGGGGTGCCCTGGGGGCGACTGGAGGAGGCCGGCTCCCTGCAGGCAGTGGCAGGGCCCGGATGGACGAAGCCTGCCCCCTGCTGGTGGCCACTGAGGGCGTTAGTCAAGGCCTGCCGGCTGTGGGCAGCTCGGAGTCTGGCTGGCAGGATTGGGGGTGGCCAGAGCGGGACTTCCTAGAATGAGATGCCCTGAAAATGGGGAGGCACAGTGAGGCCCCAGGCACCCTCTGGAGTCCTCGCGTGAGTGGGGTGGTGGGTGGGTGTAGAGCGAGGTGACCGCCCTCAGGACCCACAGTTGGGAAGCGGAGGTTTGAGCTGATGCCCTGGAGAAACGGGGTCGTAGACGCCCCCAGGGAGAAGTAGGGCGGGGGGAGCCTGCGGGGCCTTGCGTCTCCCAAGCAGGCGTGACACGCCGTGGTTTGGACTCGCTGTGCGTGAACCCCGAGAGTTGGGTCCAACCTGAGAAAGCCCGGTTGTCCGGTGGCTGGCTCCTCACCCCGGCGCCCGGGACACAGCCAGCGGGGTGCTTAGACCCCCTAGCCCCCGGGGGGGCCCTGCCAAGAGCCGGGTAAGTGGAGCATCAGCGTTGCTGGTCACCGCCAGCCACGGGCCATGTGCGCGCAGGAGAGGGGCGGGGCATGAGGGCCCTGCGCCCCGGGCCTTCCTCAGGGGTCTCGGAGTTTTGGCGTCTGAGCGTAATTTACTCACCTGCTTGGGGGAGAGAGAGAGAGTGAAGGTGGAGGGCGGGGACTCTGGAGGTGCCGGTGGGGTCACCCCTGCTAGGGGCGCGTGGAGTCTTCTCCACCGTGTGGCCAGGCCTGTGCCCCTGCTGTTTTGGGGGCGGTGGATGTTGTCATTCT